GTTGTGCCCGTTCATAGTCACTGTCGAACTGGTCAAGCTTCTTGGAATATCGATCTGGATCCAGCAAGTAATTGGAGACAAATAGTCCACAATCAAACCTGTAATATAACAAATAATTACCATGGTCATGATGCGAACAAATAATTATCGAACTTAATTAGAACAGTGCACGATTGAACAACAACAAAGGGTACCCATTTGGTTGGCAAGCAACATCCCGGCGATATCTAACCACAAAGTCCACAAATGAAAACGTCCCGCAGATATCATCCTTAAGCAACCAGTCTAGACCCAATTTCTGCAAATGAAAACATCCCCCTCATCGATATTTAACGACAAAATGAAAAACGACTAACAACTAAGCAATAAGTCAAGTTTTAAAACTTGAAGAACAAGAAGCAAACCAGTTTATGCATCCTTGCATCATATTCTAGGTTATGAATTCCTGGTATTGAGTCCCAGATTTCAATTTCTTTGGCTTCCATGTTAAAGACCGCCAGATAGAAGTGGGACACCGTGAGGTTGAAAATTGGGACATGAATCTGAAATAATGCACAAACAAACAATAATTATCAATTTAACATAGGAGTGTGAAGCCATTTCCTTTTAGAAAACAACATTACAACATACCTTACTGCAGTAAATTAGCTCACTTATACGGTATCGCTCAAGTATCTTATATGACCGCATGTTTTCCATAAAATGCTCCTCGTTTTTGCAATGATACGCACGATCCTAGAAAAATAAAACACAGTTACCCACACAAGCTACATGTAACAAACAAATAGATTAATTTCATGACAAGAATAGACAAAGCAGACAACTGTACCGAAACTGAAGGTGGAAAGAACCAAGACACTCCACCACTGCGACCGCAACTTCGTTCTTCTAGTGTCTTGCACAGACATGCCATTTCTATAATCTAATGCATCATCATCACATATACCAAAGTCAGCAATACAAGTTTAATCTACTAAATTACACACATAAAGGAACTCACCCTTGTTGAAATTTTGGTCCTGGGCAAAAACTCGACCAAATCTTCACGTAACAACTCAAGAGCCCCGCCATCAAGACGAACCAATACGTCCCTGTTATACAAGACCAAGTTCAAACACCACAACATTAGAATAAGGCAAATACCAAAAATTTCCTACAGATATGATCCAATCTTACTTGTAATGATTTCGGGAGGTACCTTTCGGGAAGCGAACTACTAAAAGCAAATTGAATCATCTTTACTGCCTCCAGAGTCAATGGTGTCTGAACAACAAAGGGAGGAGCACGGTACAAAGGTTGTCCTTTCTTAGCTCTGGGATTTGCACGTTCGAATGGAGAGACCACATACAAACTAGGCTTCAATTTAGATACACTACGTAGTCCACCTCCCTTTCGCCCCTTTATTGTTCAAAAACATAAAAACAAAACAAGTTCATTAGTAACCACACCATAAGTACAAATAATTAGAAAACTTAATAAAGTGTAATACCTTCACAGTCTTGGCACAACCATCATTAGCAGCAACACTTTCATCACTCAACAATATGAATTTCTCAACTTTAGACGCTTTCGCCTGCTTGCAAGGAGACTTTTTCACAACTTTGACAGAAGGAGATTCAGAACCGCAGTCATCTCCAATTTCCCCCTCAGCTTCTCCCCAATTCTTAACACCTAACCCTTGAGTCTTGACAGATTCGGAGGTAGGAGAAATGGGTTCACTTGGTTTTTCAACCTCAGCCTTCTGATTGCCCTTTTCCCCTCTGATAAGCTGCTCCGTTGACAACAAAACAGCTGCAGAAGCTTTCACATTATCAGCCTCATCCTTCTGATCGTTCTTTTTCAACTCAGTAGGCTGCTCCCTTGACAACGGATCACCTATAGTTGCTTTCACTGCCTCTATAATGGACTTCACTTGACTACCAATTTCGTCTCTAAAAGCCCGAAATTCGTTCTCCATATTCACAACCCGACTCATTAGCTCATTCTCTCTGGAAGCAGCATCACCCATTGCAACTCTAAATTCTTGCCTAAAGTTGTCAATTCTACCCTCCATGGTAGCAAACCGAGCGTCAATACGCTCACAGAGAAGCAGCTCATCACCGTCGGGTTTTTGCCGTTTCCCATCTCTTTTTTCCCGTTTTCTTGCAGGTGATTTCAAACCTACATCCTCAGCTGATCTTTTACCCGAACTGCTGGAAACCTACAAATTAATTAAAAAGGGAACCAAATGTACCATTAGCATGCTCCAACTCGTCAAAAGAATCAAATATACTATCAGTCTTACCACTTCTGTTAACAATAACTCCACGTCTCTGCTCCCCCAGCTCAACAAATCCAAACTCCTATCAATAGTTTCGAAAATACCATTTGCATGCTCCAAGAATATTAACTACAAAAAAAAAAAATACTATAATCAACATGATGATTAAACATTACAAATATGTAGAAAGTAGGGATTAGCAATTATTTACCTCCAAGAACAGCAAGCAACCCGGTATATACTTTCTCCCCTCAGCATTATGGTCGCAGATGCATTTGACCAATTCATTGAAGCAAAACGATGCCCAATTCTTCTTCGGAATATCGGCAACATCGAGGACAGCGTATACCGAAGATAACGAAAAGTCATCTCTTCTAGTTGGTACTAATAGCACCCCCATTACGTACAAAATAAACGTTTGAAGAAATAGATCACCGCTATCTTTCATCTCCGACAAAGCCTTCCGCATTAAGCTTGTCGAAATCGCCTGTCGGGCACAATCAACTGTCGAATACACTCTAAATGGATTCAATTCCTCGGATCTTCGTCCCACTTCTTCACCATTCAAGATGATATCAGTACCTCCCTCAGGCACGCCCATAATTCGCTCGAAATCTTTGGCCGAAATATGGACTTTCAACCCATAAGCCTGAATTGAGCTTTCTTCCACATTAAAGCTCTTCAAAAGGATCTCCAACAACTCACGTTGGAGCATTCTTCCTTTGACTTCAAGCATACGACCAAAGCCACATCTCTTAATGGCCTCTGATTGACAAGCCTCTAAATTTGAGACTACTGAGAATACTTTCCTAGGAGAACAGCGGGTGCTAAAAATTTCATGACTCTTCGTCTTCATTATAGAACAATTTTAGCAAACTGCAAAATTAAAACAACAAAAAAATTATAAGCATGCCTTGAAACACGAATTATAAGCATGCCGAAGAGTACTAACAAAATACACAAAGCCAGAGTCGTCCACCACTGATCTAAAGAAGCAACTTTCAGTTTTCACACTTAAACACATTCGAGAAAACGTGGTTATGACAAAGTTTCATTCAAGAAAAGGATCATTTAATCATTCGGTAAACACATTCTCCAGGTAATGAGTTCAATCCTGGTTTTCAATATATGGCTTTTATCAATATTGAACAAATGCAAGACTATACCAGAGCTCACAAGCACACTTGCCTCGATATCAAGTTCTAACTACCAGAAGAACTGAAAACCCCCTACATCAACACCTGAGTACACTAATTAACCATGAAATCCGCCATTGGCATATATAAATTTCACCCAAAACACCCAGCTTCCATTAAATTTCACCCAAAATGCAAATTCTCACGGCCGTGACATGACCCGTGAGAAGCAAAGAGTAGTTTTTATATCCCAGACAATCTCACGGCTTTGGCTACAAAAATCACGGCCGTTAAACTAAGCCGTGAAACTAAAAACACCTTGTATGTAAAAATGGACTTCTCACGGCTCATCTTTAAATATCACGGGCGTGAGATTAACCCGTGATAAGGGCACAACTGAAACTCAAAAACACGCCTCACATCTGAAAATCTCACGGCCGGGAGATGAACCGTTAGATTTTTTTAAAAAAAGGGGGAATTCCAGGGGGTTTCACGGGTTGGGTTCGACAGTATCACGGCCGTGAGATGAGCCGTGTTTGTGTAATTGAAATGCTGGACTTCTCACGGCTCATCTGTTAATCTCACGGGCGTGAGATCAACCCGTGAGATGGTCACAGCTGAAACCCAAAAAACACGCCTCACAACTTAAAACTCACGGCCGGGAGATGTGCCGTTAGAATGTTTTTTCAAAAAATGTAAGTTCCAGGATGTTTCACGGGTTATATCACGCCCGGGACAAAAACCGTGAGATGGAACCCTCAAATTGGAAACACCCTATTTACTTCCTCTTTTCTACTTGAACCCGACCCCCAACCGTGAAGAAAGCAGCTAAAAGGTTGTCCAAAAAGAATAAACATCATTTAGCAAGTAAAGCAGGTGCAGAGCTAAACTTCTATTCTTCTTCCAAAATCACATCAACACCTTCCGTAAGTCTAGACTTGGCTAAGTAGTTACCAAGAAGAACGACTTCAATGGGACAATATTGAAAATCCATCTTTATTTCTTCCCAAGTCTTTAGATGAACTAAAAATCCAAAATATCTTGCAAATAAAACAAAAGCCACTGAACATTTGTAACCTTCTACCCGCCATTTCCTAGGTTGGGGACAAGATGCAGCAGAACAGTAGTATTGATAAAGCATCATGGAACTTTAACATTTCATTTTCCTCAATTCGTTAACCAACATACGATCACCACCTTCATTAGAAGCAGCATAATCAGTAGCTCTGAAAACATAACAAATACACGAGCTTCTAACAATTTGGAGCAGTATGAAGTAGGCAAGAAAAAGATGTTGTTATGCGTTACAATGAGGTCTACTGATTGTATCAAATGTTCCACCACGATACCAACGCTTGCTAAAGATTCTAGAATTTTGATCAGTCATATAAAATGAGATCGAGGCACGGAATGTACAATAAAGACTAAAACTGGGAGTAACTCCCAAGCTGCCGTATATTCTAAGGCCAACAACCATGCTCTAAATATCCTATAACTAAGTTTGACCTTAATGTCTCATTATTCATGGAAGCTCTTTTACCCACTGCACTAAACTTCTTTTCTACATTATATACACAATTCTAACTCCACAGACAGTCCCTTCGGATACATCCGATAACTCCACAAACAGAAAACTCATACTATGAAGTGAACAGTTAAGATAAGCACCCATTTCTGTTGGTTAATCGCATGCTTGGAGCCACTAACCATAGCAAAGAGACTTAAATCAATCAAACAAATCATGGTCTTCAAACTTAACTACATTCATCAATTGGCTAAACAGAGAAAAATTCCCAACTTTCTCAGTGAACACGGCCTTTCTATCTACCATATCATATCATATCAATCCTCCCACGAAGAAGATGGAAGAACTACAACAACAACATCCATCCAAAGCTTCCTCACCAAAGGAAGCATCATCAACAACCACAACCGCAACCACAACAACAACAACCACAACTACTGTGAATTCTTCAGACTCGAATTCTTCTACCCTAACAACAGAAGAACCCAATGCTCCTCCTCAACAGAAGAAGATTGAGGAACAACAACAACAACAACAACAACAACAACAAGAGCCTGCTAAGGATGTTGCTGAAACGGAGACAAATCAAGCACAACCTCAACAGCAAAAACAAGGTGAAGAGAAGGTAAATGCTGCAAATTCTCCTTCAAAACAAGTGAAGGAACAACAGGAACCGCCATTGCAGCTAATTATCAAGCTAAACACAAAGAAGATAGTACTAACCGAAAAAAGTTGCGGTGGAGGAGGGGTTTTGTGCAGAGTCTTCGTTAGCTATCGATGGGAAGAGGGGTTTTGTGCAGAGTCTTCGTTAGCTATCGATGGGAATTCACTAGTCAATTGTTCTGGTTCGTGGCATTTCCTATCCAGCACTAAGTTAGTAGGAGGGGGAAAATTGGAAGCACAGAGATTCAATTGAACTGCTGTCAAAAACTAGAACGAAGTAAACGATACATGGAATAGAATTCAAGAGTAAAAAGTTGCTTACAGATAACATGGGTTCGCACTGCAGAGCATACCCTGAGACAGCGACCGCGAGCTGGTGGAATCGATGCCGACACGGCGGGGAGTGAAGCGGGAGAAGCGATTGAATAGCACCCAGCTGAGCAATTGGCCTTGAGAATGTGGAAGAAAGGCGAGCTGGGAAAAGAGAAGCGGCCGAGGTGGGCGTGGGTTTGACGCCGGCGGTCTTCGTTTGCAATCGACGAAGAGATGCTCGCTCTCGTCGTCCCTTGCTCGCCGCCTTCACTGTCGTCGTCGGAATCCGGAATCCGAATCGCCGCCTTCACTGCCGCCTTCTATTCGTCGTCACCCACTGCTCGCCGTCTTCACTCGTCGTCACCCACTGCGTGGAGAGGATCGCCGTCTTCACTGCTCGCTAGCTGCGTGGAGAGGATCGAAGGAAGGAAGAGGATCGAAGAAAGAGGGGTTTCGGCGGTGAGAACTGAGAAGAAGAGTGTAATTGGTTTCACAAAACCGGTTGTACCGGTCATCAACACACAAATAAAATAATAAATTAATAATTTAAATGAAATCTAATGGTTGATATAGTTTGGACATGATCTAATGGCTGTAAATGTTTTATAGTACCAATACTATAAAGCACACTAAAATGCCTCCTTTCAGATACATACTAGAGTCAGCATGTTTTGAGTTGTTCTTCAAATTTGTGGAGTTGCCTAACTTCGACGTTGCTTCTGATGCCTTCTCCACTTTCAAGGTCAGTTTTATTTTGTCTGTTTACCTTTTCATTTTCTATGTTCCAGTTATACTCACTTGACATTTGCTTCCATCGGTTATCAGGATTTGCTTAGTAAACATGATACGATAGTTGCAGAATATCTTACTGCACACTATGCTGAGGTATATGTCCTGACAGCCTGTGTGATCTGATTATTATTTACTTTTTCTGAAAGATTCTTAACCTGATCTTGGTGCAGCTAAATGTTTCCACAACATAGACTAAAAATTATTGTATGCTTAGACTGTGTCTTCCAAATTTGGTACTAAGCATACTACTGTTCATAGGAGAATGTTATACATGCCCCAGCATGTTCAAATGTGTAATTTTTACCTAGACAAACATAAGAAAATGCCGTCCACCCGGTGCCTTCATTTAATAGTTTTGACATTTTTGCTGTCATCCTTCCTCTTTCAGCTTGCTATATAAAACCATGTCACGGAAATGCAGCTTTCTCTTAAAAGTAATGCTTGTTCTATTTGGTTGCCTGTCTAAAAGGGTTAAGTTGTTTTTTTTTTCTTTCTATTATAGTTCTTTGATCTGTATGACAAACTTCTCACATCCCCTAATTACGTGACAAGAAGGCAATCAGTGAAGGTTAGTCTCCAAACGTAGTAGTAATTTCTTAGACTTGCCTAATTTAATTGGTTCTTGTTTGCGGATTTAGCTTCTCTCTGAGTTCCTTTTCGAGCCTCCAAATTCCAGCATAATGAAGCGCTTTATTCTTGAAGTTCACTACCTAAAAGTCATGATGACATTGCTTAAGGTACTATATGCTAGTCTTTGTAGAACCTGATTCCACGTCTCTTCTCCTCCCATTTTGATTAGTCAATTGAATGTCTTAGGCTAGTTCTCAATCATAGTGAAAATATGTTACAAACTGAAAACCACTAGATTCTATAATAAAATGATTTTCTCGAGCTCATTAGAGCTGTGGACAGAAATAGAAGTGTAGGCCATTCAAGGAAACATGATTTCTATAATCTCGACTCGAGGAAACAAGAGTGTAATTTGTCAGAAGGCCAGTCAAGAAAACGATTAGATGCTTTAATCTCAATTTCTCGATTACTTGAATCTGTCTTTAGGGTTGGATCCAAGTTACCGGCTGTGTGTAGTGATTACGATTTTGGCTCGACTTTTGGTGTCACATCTTGGCTTGGGTTCTCTCTTTATGGTTTCCATCTCTTTCATTCTCATTAGTTGCGTATTTGAAAGGAATACGTGCTCCTTGGATGATGGAACCCCATGCAGTAGGGCTGGGAATCCGGTTCCAGTTTCCCGGTCAAACCGGAAACCGGCCAGTTTAAACCGTCCCGGTTACAACCGAAAACCGGATACAACCCGGTCTGGTCCGAATTCCGGTTGCCTATATATGAGAAAAAACTGTACCAGTTTTAACCCGGTTAAAACCGGAAATAACCGGAAAACCGGGCCCTTCCCAGCCCAGCCCTTTACTGAAGCCCAGCCCCTCTCAACCCAGAAGCCCAAATACCCATCCGTAAAACCCTAATGTGGCCATCTCCATCGTAGTCTCCACCTCCTCGCCGCATTGTCAATCTCTCTCTTTGCTCTCTGCTCTAGAAGAAGAAACAGATCAGCCGATCGCCGCACAACCGTCGAAGCAGCCGCCGCGCCGACTCGCCCTTTCTTCCGTGACGGCACCGCGATCCCCCCTTCTGGCAGAGCGGTCGAGGTCTGGTCTCTGCTCTAGGCGATGGTTACGGCTACAACGACAACGATGGAGACGACGATGTGAGATCGCACCCAATCTGGTCTCTCTCTCTTCTCAGTCTCACAAACCGATTTGAGACCACCTTTGATCTGCACCCTCCGTCTCGATCTTGCCCAGATCGAAACATGCAACAACAACAATGAAGCAAGAACAAGTGAAAGGGGATGGCGACGACAACGATGATTTGGGGATGGTGACGATGGTGACTGCGACGACGAGGAAGACTCGGGAATGGTGGCGATGGTTGCGTCGGTGGGAGAGAACTCTCTATCGGCGACACTTACAATGTGAGAGGGAAAGAAACATAGACAAAGAAGGAGAGAGAGAGAGAGATTTGGCAATTTGTTGGTTGCAGATGCGTGTGTTTTTTGGTTTTGTGAGAGAAGAAGAATTAGAACGGTGGCGTTTGGTGGAAGTGAAAATATCCAGTTTTTTGGTTGAAACCGGATCGGACCGGATCCAACCCAGTCCGATCACGGTTGAAACCGGGTGTCCATCCAATCCAATTTCCGGTTGTAGCTTTGCTCAATACGGTTTCAAAAAACCGGGTTAATCCGGTCCGGTTTTAACCGGACCAAACCGTTTCCCACCCCTACCATGCAGCATGCATCTTACCTTCCAAGTAGCTCCATAGGTTAACATATGGATAGGTAACCTATCAGGAACATTTTTCACTGTGATGTCATTGTTGCGTGAGATACAATTTGCGATTCTAGTGCTGTATTTCTTTAAGTGTGGAGTTTGATCTGTTTTAGTGGAGATAACTTGAGTTGATTATTGATGTGTGGAATTTGCTTTCAACTGAATGTTACTCTGTTTAAACCCGGCCTCTGATATTCCGCTCTTAAACTTCTACCAAGAGGCCTTGCTTTCAGTCCTTGGGTGTTTATCTTTAGCCTTTAACTCGTTCTTTAAACCCAACCTGTTCCGACTCTCGGCATCTAGTGATGTAGTAATGTGTGTGTGCTTGCTAGACCACAGTGTTGGAAGTTTATGTCCAACGCACCTACAGAAACTGGGTCATGTCGGTACATATACTAGGCCAGGCTAGCTACATTCTTCTTTATCAACTGCTTTGACTGATTTGTTATTATGTCTGGACAGGACTCGAGTAAAACCATCCAGATTTATGCTTTCCACATTTTCAAGGTACAGATTCTCCTGCTCTTTCTTCCATCGTATAGAATTTCCCCTGCTTTTACGATCCTGATTTCCAACCTCCATACAAAGCACAAGGATTCCTAATTCCTCTTGTTATTTTTTGTAAGCAGGTCTTTGTTGCTAACCCTAACAAGCCACAAGAAGTGAAAATGATCTTGGCCAGAAATCATGAAAAGCTGGTGGAATTGCTCATAGACCTCACAGTTGGGAAAGGTAAAAAAACCTGCTAAAATCTCTGTAAATCCTTCTTTGGTCGAGGTGAGTAAAACATCTCTTGCGGTCTCAACAGGTTCAGAGGACGAACAGTTCGAAGAGGAAAAGGAAATGATCATCAAGGAAATTGTAAGACTATCTCGCGTGCCTAATCTTCTGAACGGTTAGGCTGTGTTCGTTCTCGCCACGATAAATGCCCTGTATCTCGTATTACTGTTACTACATGAAGATTCTCTGCAACCATCTGCATTTTGTTCGATGAAATTCAGTTGTTTCTGTATTTGAGGCTTTGGAGAAAGCCCTGCCCAACTGCATTCCTTCCTCCCTTCGCCAAGTAAATAGAAGATAAGTATACATCTGCGCATAACTAATTATTTTGAGCTTCAATTCAAGTAGCCAAAAAAACCAATTATTCATTTCCCGAAACCCCACAAGAACTCTGTGTTGTCACTATTTCTCAGAGGAAAAAGCCTTTCACGGCGAGATAAAAGTATGTAAATATAGAGTTTGTGTATAAATGATAACACAAAAATTTCTTCGCGATCACAATGAGACGAGTCTCTCTTTCAAAAATTATGTTTCTTTCTCGCCGGCTGAATGATGGAGCTGGTACTGATGTAGAGAGTGAAGGGACCAAGGTTGGGGGTGGATTTGGGGACAATCAAAGCAGCCAAATAATGGCGGTGAGCCCTGCAAGTACAGTGACGTTTCAGTCGTGTCGAGCCAGCAGTCCTTGTTGCCAGAGATGGAGGATACGAGTTGGGATGAAATTGAAGATAGTGGAGGCAATGGAGACTGCAGCAATAACAACGGAGAGAAGGCTGCAGGGGTTGGGAATACAGCAGCCGTAAGTCGAGTAGATTTGAGGAAGCGGCTGGGTTATGCCGAGGAAGAGGAGGATCTGAGCTGTGGGATATTGAAGATGACGATGAGGAATCTGTCAAGCATTGATCGATTGAAGCCCGATAATGGTTAGTTAGTTCCTCTGGATACAACTTGCAGACCAGCAATGAACTTGCTGCAGTGCCATCCTAGCCCTAGGAGTAGTTGCTGATAATGTTTAAACATCACAGAGAAAGCAGCAAAGAATGATGGATCATTTTCTATACTCAAAATTGCAAATCAAAGATAGAATCCCAAGTATCGATCACCATCAGTTTGTGATGGTAGACACTAGACAAGATCAAATGGTATATTGTGTAAAAGCTAGGCTAGCAGTAATAAAGCAAAATCATTAGAAGCTAAGCTAAACCATCAGAGACATTGCTGATTATGTTTGGAGACTGCGGAAGGTAATCTTGCAGAGAAACTCGAGAGGGTACATAATTCGTAATAACCTTTACCCAAATTCCTTCGATTAGAACATCGCTGAACTCTCCAGTCTCGAGATGAAATGGGATTAGGCTGCGATCTCCATTGTAGTCCCCATGTTCGTCGACCATATCAGTAGGAACCGTCGTGAAGAAAAACTTCAGGTCACTCGAAAGTCCAACGCAACCCTCAATGGTCATCCCGGGAGGACTCGTAACAACGTACAGTTTCATCCAAGACTCCGACACCCAGTACTTCAACAGCACCCAGACGTCCCACGACGTGCTAAACTTTCTGTCTCCGTATTCGTCTTGGTTCTCCTCGTAGTACTTTGGGGAAGACAGCCACCATCGATTCCTCGTTCAACAAACATTTCGGAGTATCGTAAGGTTTCTCCGAATCATAATGCACCTCGACTACTTCGAACAATTCGCTCGCAATGTCGAACGAATCGAACACCAAACCCTTGCTCTGCCCCGTCGAGCGCCACCAGTACATCTTCCCCTTACGGCACTGCGGGATCCTCCAAGAGCTGAGCAGCGGGCAGCCGCCGTCAGGCAATATCCACCAGGAATTGTTCCTCAAACTATATACCTCCGAGATATAGTGTACCCAGATACCTAATTCGTCGAAGAAAAACTGTCTGACGATTTTGTAGTCGTCCCTTTCCGAATCGAAACCAAACCCCACCGCGCCGATCAAAAATTCGCGATGCCGATTGGCGGCGGGGGAAGGCGGGAGGACTTTGAATTCGGAGGTCGCCGGGTTCCAGAGGATTAGATCCTCGTCCGTTCTGCTGCGGTACTCGACGATACAGAACAGACCGTTGCAGCATCCTACAACGCTCAAACTCGGACAATCGCCGGCTCTACGGGGCCTGTTTTGATCGAAGGGAAGCTGAAGGGGAGAGGGAAGGAGGGGCTCCAGCGTGTCGGGAGAGATCAAGCGGTGAACGTGCCGAAAAACGTCGCCGGAGCGGTCACCCCACTCGACCATGAATTGATGATCGGAAGCAGAGGAAGCGAGATTGTTCTTGCGGATGAAAGATGGGTCGGAGAGGAGATGGCGCCATGATTTGCAGACGCAGAGGAATCGGGCGATGGATGAGCTGACCTGAAGCTTGGATAAGATGCCAGTGATCAATTCCTCCGGAATTTCGTCGCTCATAGTAGGCGGCGATTTGGAGGGCAGTTGCCGGCCGGCGAGTATTTGCTGCGGCGCTTAATTAGGGTTTATCTACGTTCAAAGATAGGCCGTCAGCAGAAATCAAATCAAAGGGATTGGATTCGAACCATAATTAATGCCGGTTTTCAAGGAAAAACATATTTGGTTTGCTATAATAGGCTTGGGATAGAGTTAGTAACCATACGGGAGAAAAAATATGTTTGTAATTGGGGGTGTTTAAATGGTTACCATGATAATTATCAAACCAAATAAGACTAAATTCTATTAACCATGGAATACACAATCATAACCAAACCGTCCAAACTAATACAATAACCAAATTAACCAAACTAAATTTTAGTCGGTTTGGTTAATTGGTTAACCAGATTAACCAATATAACATCACATTATCATTAAGTGATACAATGAAGAAAAAGTATTATGAGTTTATAAACAACTAGACTACAATCCACAATTACGCATATAAAAAATAAAAGCAACTAGACTACGTGGTATTTGTTGCAATTGGTTTAATTAAAGGTTAATATATTTGTATGGCCTGAACTTTGCACATAATAAACATCTTGGCCAATCTTTTCAATCTATAACATCATGACCCAAACTATACATCAAAGTAACGAAATTGACAAAACCCGATGTTTGACCGTTATCTTGGACGGTCAAACACGTTGACTAACGGTCAACGTGCCATGTCATTGCCAAATCAGCAAGTTTCGCTTAAAAAAATTTATATTTTCCACCTATTACCATTTTTATTTTTCACTTTGAACCAAAAGAAGAAAGAAAAAGTAATTTCATTTTGAACCTAGAAAAAGAAAAATGGTAATAGGTTGAAAATATAATAAAAATTAAGTGAAAGTTGTTGAATTGGCTTAGTCAACGCGTTTGACCATTCAAGATAATGGTCAAACATCGGGTTTGACCAATTTCATTACTTTGATGCATAGTTTGGGCCAGGATTTTATAGATCGAAAAGATTGGCGAGGGTTTTTATTATGTGCAAAGTTCAGGCCATACAAATATATTAACCCTTAATTAAACACAAGAGACATATTCGATATTTGATGCTTTGTATTTTATTTGAAGTTAGTAATCTACACTATAATTAATACCTGGAAAAAAAAGGTCATTCACGTTCAAAAATTCCTACCTCAAGAGTGATATTCAAAGGGGTATTTTGGGGTGAGGGAAATTTTTGGCGCTGGCTGCGGACAACGACATAGGCAGGGGTGAAGGGAGAGGATTAGAGGGTGGATTCTCGGACCTACCCTGGTTTAGGAGGAAAATTTATATATTAGGTGTAATAGTTAATCAGGTATAAAAAATAACATGTATTTAAATTAAAATAGTTGACGTTTCAAATATTTGATGTATGATTTATAACTTGTGTATTGTCATATTCAATGTTTGGATATCGTGGATTACCAAAAAAAATGTTTGGATAATGTGTTGTGCATAAATGACAATAGTGCATATGATCCGTCCAAAAGTAAAGATGTATTTATTCAATATCTACAACAAAATCCACCAAATCATAGGGAATTTGTAGAAATAATATTATTTCAATTAGGGTTATGAAGAGTGTAACGACTGGCTCTTAAGGAAAAAAATTACTAAATTAGTATAATAGTAAAGTGAGAATGAAATTTAGGACACTTCTAATTGAGAATGGTTGACTGAGAGATCATGGTTTCTAATCTTGATGATCCCATTTGTTAAGCAGATGATATTATTTGTGAAAACTTTAACCACATATAAGTTGATTTTTGTTAGCGGGAAAGTGTTAGTAAATACTAAATAGTATAAGGTTCATTGTTAAATCTTTCACAAAAGTCGAGTTATTGATACAAATTGATTTATAGTCTATAGAGTCATACTCTTGATAGTTTTTATATATATTTAATTTATCAAATTTTTGTAAATACAAAATTATATCGTGAATTATTTAAAAACTAACAAATCTTCAGGGTCCCTCCGTGAGATGCGCATGAGGCCAGAAAATTGGAGTTGATGGGGTTCTGAAGGAGAACCTATATAAGATTTGTAGGATACTGGAATAAACCTAAACTTAACCCCAACCCCAAGTTATTGATATTCCTAATTATTATCGTATCATAGATAATACAAGAATCACACAAAAAGTATGTTTGTAACTGGGGGTGTTCAAATGGTTACCATGGTAATTATCAAACCAAATAAGACTAAATTCTATTAACCATGGAATACAAAATCATAACCAAACCGTCCAAACTAATACAATAACCAAATTAACCAAACTAAATTTTAGTCGGTTTGGTTAATTGGTTAACCAGATTAACCAATATAACATCACATTATCATTAAGTGATACAACATTATGTTAGAAACACATTAATTAGAGTTTTTGGTTATTCGTCGATTTTATTGATTGGGGGGATTATTTGAGAAATTCGAAAATAAACAGAGAGTCGATTGTTATGTTTTATTAGTTGGGTAGGTGATAGTAATTATGCGGACTATATAATTTATAATTAGTTGGATTATTCTCATTAAGCAAATACAGAACAGTTTTCCCTAAAACCTAATCTTCTTTCCTTCCTCCCTCTCCCACGTCCCTCCCAACTTCTCCTTCTTCCCCCAATCCTCTCGATCCATGGCGAAGAAACATCGAGGCCAATAGCTTCATCTTCTTCCTCAGCCTCCACTGATTCAACTAGGGCTCCCAATAGCGTCACAATCTCTTCCCGTTGTTTCTTCCTCCGATAGAATCGCCTCCCCCCTTTAAGGCGGATGGCTATGCACGGCTCCGTCGAGGTTGGTTCTTGTGACGTCGACGTGATGGACATTCCCAAGGCACTACTCTCCATGGTTAGGGTTCCAACAAGCCACGGTGGTGGTGTGATAACCCTCGACGATAGCGCGGTTGCTGACGTGGTGGCTGGGATGACCACATCAACATCAATGGAGGCTTTCTTCAGCTTCGATTCCAATGGCTCGGGCATTTGAGAAATCGGCTGATCTCCTCGATTGTAACATTCGGTCCTTTGAGCCGTGACGTCGTTCTTCTTTTGTGACTCGGCAGCTGCCTTCGCGGAATTCGGGAAGACAAGGCATTCCCTGTTTGTTGGATCCTAGGGGATTGGCTCACCGTACTCGCCGCTCGGCGCCTGATATTTGGCGGAGAGCTCCGCCATTCGTTGTTCCCAGCCAGCGCAACGATATCCCGTCCAAAGTCGGCTGCTTGGTGGTGGCGAAATTCGAAGTTCGCATCGGCTGGTCTTCTCCCTCCGCAAGAGACGATCGTTGAGTGAGCCGAGTTTGTTGTAATTCAAGCTCTCCCAACCCTACGGTAAAATCAATTGAAGAGTTACCTGTGCTTGCGTCCAAATCCACCTCCCTAGAGCCAAGATAATAATCATGGTAATTAGCTGCTCCAAAACAGTCGAACCCGTGCTCATGGGAAGTTTGACTTCTAATTGAAGCTCCGGCTCCCACGGCTCCGGAACCAGCAAAACGCACCCTCTCTTCCTGATGACGGAACTGCGAACACGTATCTTGAAATTGACTTCGATAAGCTGCAACATTGATTGCTTCTGCAACCCTAACTTTGGCGGCCAAACTCTCTAGGTCTTGGTGGTGGTCTCGTACGAGATAATAATGGTGCGGCCATGGCGGATGATGAGACGATGGCGGATACGACAACAACGGTGGATGTGATGGCGGCAGGTACCTAGGGTAGCCGAGCTCTCGACGAGGAAGAGATCCCTCGTATCTCCATGCCCACGGCGGCGCGTAAAATTCCTCCCCACCTGGATGTTGCTTGAAAATCGGCATAGCGAATTCAGCGGCTAACCAGGCTCTGATACCAATTGATGCGTGATAGCGGAATCTCACGTATCGTGGAACTCGAACTCTTCTACGAAACTAATAAAACGCGATAAAGATAGCTAAATTACTCTAATTTACTTTACTCTTATTCATTGCTTACGAAACGCAAAGAACAACGTACATATTTATAGGAAAACGTAAGAAAACCTAATAGCTAACCCTATCCCACTCTAACAAGGTAACTAATAACTTACTCAACAAGACACAATAAACTAAATACTCATTTCTTCCACCAATCCGCTTTTCAAAGAAGGAGGGAAAACATTATTAAAATTCTTAAAGATGATAACGGGAATCCCATTCAGATGAACAAAGTAAAGCTTCAATATCTATAGGCTTTTTTGTCCAACTTTTCACATCAAATGGAGTAGATTCACTTATTATGGTGGCTAACCTAGGTCTTGTCAGTAAAGTGGATGCCTTCATGAACTCCTCCTTAACAACCCTGGTTTCTCGAGAGGAAATTAAGAGCGTTACTTTCGCTATTGGAGCTTATCAGGCTCCGGGTATAGATGGCTTCACTGGAATTTTTTACCAGACCTATTGGGAGGATATTAGTAACTCCTTATGTGAGGCCATTCAAGCTTTCTTCCACTCAGGAAGACTCCTCCATAATTTCAATCACACTCTAATTACCCTGATTCCCAAAGTTCCGAACGCCGTATACATGAGACAAATGCGACCTATAGGACTATGTCAAGTTTTCTACAAAATTATTGCGAAAATCATGGCGGACAGACTAAGCCATATATTACCATTCATAGTGGGTCCTAATCAAAATGGTTTTGTAAAGGGTAGATCTATTATTGAAAATATCTTGATTGGTCAAGAAGTAATGCAATTCCTTAAGACGAAAGACAAAGGAAAAGAAAAATGGATGGCGCTAAAGCTTGACATGGAGAAAGCCTATGATCGTGTAGAATGGGAATTTCTAATAATGTAATGAAAGTATTGGGATTCAGTGATCAATGGATTAAATGGATCCGCTCTTGTATCACTACTGTCTCCTTCTCAATAATCTTGAATGGTTCAACTCACGGGTTTTTCAAACCTCAGAGGGGACTACGTCAAGGGTGTCCTCTCTCTCCATTATTATTTGCCATTTACACAGAGGCCTTTTCGGCTATGATCTCTCCATGGGCTCCGCGTTCATAGGGAGGCTCCCATGACCTCTCACCTCTTTTTTGCGGATGACTCATATCTCTTTCTTAGAGCCTCAAGACCAGAAATAACAATTTTGTTGGGGTTATTGCAATCATATGAAGCTGCAAGCGGTCAACGAGTTAACCTCGAGAAATCGGCCATTACCTTTAGTTCCAATATCTCTGAACAAGAGGCTACAGAATTAGCAAATGCTCTAGGAGTCGTCAAAATAGGGACCCATGATCAATATCTAGGACTTCCATCAAGAATCCATCGATCTAAAGTCCTTACCTTTCGGTATATTGAGGACTCTTTAGCGCCTCGGATCCATAACTGGAAATCTAAACATATGTCATTGGCAGCCAAAGAAGTGGTGATAAAATCGATAGGTACAGCCACACCAATCTATGCCATGTCATGTTTCCGCATCCCTTCTACCCAATGCCGAAGACTTAACAGTCAATTGGCCCGATTTTGGTGGGCTAACCAAGACAAAGACAAAGGAATGCATTGGCTTTCATGGCCTGAAGTATGTAATAGTAAATTTGAGGGAGGTCTGGGATACAGAGACTTCGATCGATTTAACATAGCCATATTAGCTAAACAAGCCTGGAAACGGTTAATAGAACCTGATAATACTCTGGCAAAAATATATAAAGCCCAGTATCACCCTAATGACCACTTCCTAAATGTGAGAGCTGGATCCCGTCCCTCTTGGGCTTGCTTGGCAAGGTATCCTTGAAGGGAAGAACCTCCTTAAAAAGGGCATGCGATGGCAAGTGGGATCAGGGTCCTCAATATACATTCTACAGGATCCGTGGATACCTTCAGATCCACCCTCCTACCCAATCTTGAAGACAGGTATGACCTTAGAAGGTTCAGTAGTTGCCTACCTTATCGATCCAATAACGTTTACTTGGAACTCTAACAAGATTCGATCTTTATTCTACCCAGCTTCTGCCGAACTAATTCTGTCCATACCTCTTCCCTCATATCCTAGGGAAGATAGACTCATCTGGCACTATGATAAATCTGGTCAATATACAGTGAAATCGGGATACCACCTTTTAACAAATGAAATTAACCCATTTCATAATAGTATACCAGACTACTTGGACACAAAATTTTGGAAATCATTATGGAGTATACCAGTGCCACCAAAACTGAAATTCTTCCTTTGGAGGATAGTCCGGGGGTTTCTTCCTGTCCGCAAAATTCTACAAATTCAAAAATTGACTACTTCGTGTGAATGTCCAGTGTGTTGTGAACCAACCGAAGACATTAATCACTGCTTTTTTGAATGTAGGATTGCAAAAGAGTTATGGATTATGGCTGGATTGGAACATCGTAGAAACTCAATGCGCTCCTTCCAACCAGATTTGGCATGGAAAAATCTATTTTGTGCTACTCACATCTCCAAGATTGAGATTGCCGATACGGTTTTCCTATTCTTGCGAATCTGGAAAGGAAGATGCAAAGCTACTTATGCTTTAGTATTACTTCAAGCTCGAGTTTTGTTCAGACAACTAACACCGCATATAGAGGAATGGCGAACGGCGGAGGGACAAAAAGCTCGGCAACCCACAGGTGTTCAGAGATCATCGGCGAACCCTAACAATCAAATAGGATCTCGAAGGAGCCATCCAGATGCCATATGCCCTAATAACGGTATCCTTGTGAGATTTGACGGAGCCATGAAGAAAAACCAAGGAGGCTCAATCGGATTTGCTGGATTCTCGAGAGACGGTACGTTGTCCTTTGCTTTTGGTAAATTTTATGAAGGTATTTCGGAGGCTTACATTTCCGAGCTTCTAGCTCTTAGAGACGCTATGAGATGGTGCTTAACACATAATTTTTTGGTGGTTGCATTTTGTGGAGATGCTCAACTGGTTATCAAGCACGCTATGGCAAAGAACGCTTCTCACTCTCGAGCAGGGGCTGTCTTGGAGGAAGTGCACTCATTTTCCCCCTTTTTTGAGTCAGTGTCGTGTCTTTTTGCTCCTCGGAGCTTTAACAGAGCTGCCCATTTAATGGCTATTCAGGCTCTGTCATCGGGAATCCGTTTGCTTACGGATTACCGTCCTTTTTTGGAATCTACTTGTACCTGAGTCGAGTCTTTGTCCCATGCCCTCTGGGCTTGCCTTGGAAAAAAAACTAATAATAATACGCTAGCGACTAAGCCCAACTCGGCACCAAGGCCCACGGGTGCTATAATGCATCAGCAAGCACCACAGATTTCCCATTTGTTATTTGTTGATGACAATATTATTTTCATGAGGGCAATCAAGTCAGAATGTGAGAAAGTTAAAGCCATCTTATGCTTATATGAAGCTGAATCTGGCCAGCAGGTCAATCCCCACAAATCTGAGTTATCCTTTAGTCCTAATGTGAGGCAGGGGAGAAGGAAAGAACTAGCAGATTTGCTGAACATGAAGGTAGTGGACCACCATCAAAAGTATCTAGGCCTCCCCACAATCATTGGCCGATCAAAGAAGCAGGCTTTTGGCTACTTAGTTGATCAAGTTAGAGCAAAAGTTAAAGTGTGGAAAGGAAAACTACTATCTGTAGCAGGGAAGGAAGTATTAATTAAAGTTGTGGCCCAGGCACAGATGTTGAGTGGGTGTTTAATGGGGTCAACGTGAACCAGCAAAGGAAGAAGGAAGGGTAACGTTTGGAAAATGATAAATAAAAACGAAAGATTTGGAAATAGCTAATGCCCATCAACTATTTTGAAAACCCACGATTGAGGGTTTTGAAAATCTCTAATTTTAAATTCCTTATGGGCCGTTTACTTGCCATTACATTTCTGTTAGCTGCCACAACAGAAAACAAAATTAAAATGAAAACGAAACTGACCATTTCCTGGAAAACAAAACCTGAAAAAACCTTGTTTAGCTGAGAATTTTGGTGAGTTCTGAAACTGAGTTCTAAAAAGAAATCCTGTTTAGTTGCTTCATTCTGTTTTCTGATTCTTGATTATCATACAACCCTAGCCATGATTATAATTTTTAATTCGAATTAAATAGTTTTTAAACTACAAATAAACACAATACAAGTACAACATCTTATATTAATTAAGTACTAGTACAACATAAAAATTCAAATAAGTCCAGCTTGAAAGTCATCCCACAACTTGTTTGCTATTCCATCTCGTCGTGCATCCATCGCTAGAGTTTGGCTTGAACTATGATTATATGCTTCTCGTTCTTGTCCTCCTTGCACTCCATTGGCATTCTCCTCTTGTTCAGCCTCTCAATTGCACTGTTTGGAATCTTGTTCAGCCTCAGAATAACCTGTAAATGGGCAGTCTTGTTTGAAGGCATGCCAACTAAATAGCATAAGAGCTTCATCGCCATTCAATGTCTTTGCTTCATATGTTTCATCAACTCCATGTGCTGTCAACAAGTGTCCATCTCGACTTGTTATGATCACACGACTCCCGGGCATCCATACCGACCAAGGCATTGCTCACGATTGGGATCGCATGATTCAACTTGAACCAAAGTCTTTCAACAATTTCCTTGATTACTTCTGACTCATCCCTACAAGAACAGAAAGACAAAAATCAATGGGCCTTGCAAAGAATCAGAGCTCTATATAACCTGCTGAACTGTACACCACTGCCACTACGATTCAGGAAAACAAGGTATTCATTTCAAGTTAAGCTCTACCATGATTATATCATGAACCAAGTAGAACCCTGAAGATCCTAATACCATTAATTGCTGGAGCTTACAAGACTACATTTCTTAGAGAGTGCAGATCGATGGAGATTAAGCACTGATTTCGATTCATGAAATGAAACCAAACTACTCACAGTGCTTTTCACAGAGCTGTCTTCATCCTCTTGAAGAGACTGCATTAGCGTCTTCCTGAAAACCTCCAACTGCAAGCAATACCATTTTTCGAACAGCAGAATATGAGAAACTTAACTAATCCCAAAACAAGCAATCAGAATTCCTCACTTACGAAACCCTAACAAAAGAGAGTTGTGAAATTCCGGTCAATTCAAGAAGAAATTCGAACCTTGGCGACATCGCGCTGGAGCTTCCTGACATTACTGGACAGCAAAGCATTCTCCCTCAACAATTTATCCGGTTCAACCCCCAAATTTAAAAAAAAAAAAATTCAGCCGGCGAGTCACCATGAGCAACAATTCAAGCTGGGGGAGGAAATATATGACCTTCTCTTGGTCGGCGAGGGAGAGTTTGTCGGAGGCGGCGGAGAGGGAGGCGTCGAGGGATTCAATTTGAGACTCGATGTCGGCGATGAGGTTGTCGCGGTCGGCGAGCTGGGCGCGGAGGGAGGAGGATTCTGCCTCGAGGGAGGAGACGAGGTGTGGCGAACGAAGTGGGAGGAGAGGAAGACGATGGCGGCGAGTCGAACGTGGAGGGAGGAGAGGAAGACGACATTTCTCTTCTAGGGTTGCTGGAGGGAAACGGCAGCGCTTAGGAGGGCAAAAAAGGGTAAAAAAAAATGCGTCTGTGGTGAATCGAACCCAGGTCGATTTGAGGGATTAGTATGTTTTCCGCTGGAAAACGGGGGGATAACCCGTCCCATTCTATTCAGAAAACGAGTATTAATCGTTTTCCCAATTGTAATAATTGGGTTTTTCCAAGGAAAATGGAATGATCAAGTGAACACGTTTTATGTCCATTTGTTTCCTGATTTTCATTTTTTAACCAAAAAACAGAAAATGAAATGGGAAGTGAACAGGGCATTAGCCTTTCCAAACGAGTTATTCTTTTAAATTCCTGGATGGTGAGGGATTGTGCATCACAATCCTACCCCATTCCCTTGTCTAAACGACCCTTAAGTGGGATTGTTCATGGAAGGTGACTAAATATTTGTTTTTTAATAGTCGTGTGTTCAATTAATTTGGGGTAAAATAGTCACTTGGGGGAATTTTATGCTGACTGAGTGCTTAGTCAGCGCCAAATCATAGCCTACGTGGTGCACTGCCCCAATCAAAGATTAACACGTTATTAATTATTTTATATTAAAACGGTTTATGGAACTAAATCCCTATCTCTGCTTGTGAAGAGAGCAGTTAATTCCAGAGTCGATTCCGATCACTGACAATGAATTTCTGGGTAATCGACACTTGCTCGTTCATAGTCAACTGTGTCATTCACGTTCTACTCTTCCATTCCATCCATGGATTGTCGTCTTTCTTTGCGGCGCCTCCGTTGCCGTCGTTCGTCGTTCGGCGTTCCTCGCCGGCGTGAAGCCTCTTTACCGATTGATCCCGCCGGGAGGTATGTTTTCACACGAGAATCCAGTATCCATAGGGAAATTTTTGAGGCGATGGAGTTGGCGCCGCCGATTTCTTCCCTCGCACAAAAATACCCATATAAACGGTGTCAGTAGGAAGATATATGGTCGAATGAACAATTAACTCTGCTTGCCGACAAAAAGGTAAGTTTGGAGTTGGGAAGAATAAAAATGGTTACGGGTGGGATCGAAAGGAATCAAGAGTTGGGATGGAGTCTGAAAGGTCGCCGGAAAATCACATCCGCCAAAAGCATCTTAAAAGAGAAGTAGCATAGTAGAATGAAACTGCACTTACAGTGCCGGGCCAAAACCAATGGCTGCCAACTTAAATAGATAATACACAACAGTACACAGAAGTAGCCATTTCCTTTCCTTAGCAGAGGGACATAGATTCCACATTCTAAATAACATCCAACTTCTGCATCCTTGGGCCGCAGGGCTTGTAGTGTACTTCTGCTGCTGATCTCTTGCCCTTCCTCCTATGATTGTGTGCTGCTTAATAGGCGTGTACATATAAATGATTGATTAAGTGAGGAAGTAGGTTAGGTAGCAGAAGAGACACAATGTCATAGAACCAAGGCTAGGAAGAAAGTTAAATTCGAAGTAATTACCAATCATTGAGGGAAGTGTTGTCGTACTGCAGTTCTGAACCCAACAATCGTAGCTTCCATCGTACATACCTCGCAACTGCTCGTACCTCGGAATTGGAGTAGGCCAGCAAGAGACTCTTGGCTGCAGCGCTCTCCAACAGGGGTCAAATATATGAAGATATCCTGCAGCAATGAACTCCGGCTCTCCCATCCCCGTCCTCACATTGCAGGAGAAGATGCATGCTGCAGAAGATTCGTTGTATCGAAAGAAGACAATTTCCGGCTTCTCCGGATGCAGATCAAGCACATAGCAATGCTCAAGTTTATAATCACCCCATAATGATGATGATGTCGTCGTCTTCAACACCATTTCATATTGTTGGGTCCAATGCACACCGTCTTCTTCGAGTCTCCAAACACTCAGGGATTTCCTTGAACATTCAACTTGGAATACAATTATGTGAAAGGCACCCTGTGAGACAGAAAAATTTTTCTTTGCCAAGGGTAAACCAGTCCACAATGCATAAGGTACATGCACCGATTCGGGGGGTATATAAGGGCGGAAAGGATCATATGCAGCAAGACTAAGCTTCATGTAGTTAGAGAGGTCAATCTGTTCCCAAACCAACTTCCCGTTCCACGTGAGTGCATTGGACATAGGCGATTTCACGTAGTTCTCAATCAACACCTGTGTCCATTTCCCAGACTCGGAACAAAACAGCTGTAGTATTTGATTACCCTCATTCTGGAAAAGACACACCACGCGGAAACGATACTCAGAATAAAGAAAGGGTGGTTCTGGTTCTGGTTCATCTCCTAGCTGCTGCACAAGGTTATAATTACTACTACTACTACTACTACCAGTACGGGGTTGACAAACTAACCCTACCCCCGATCCAGCAGAAGGCACTGGTTTTTCAGGGGCCAAAGGAAGAGCGACCCATTGCTTGGTAAACGGATTGCAGACAAAGTAGGATCTGCCCAATTCGCAAGTAAATTTAACAAAACCGCACAAAAGCAAGTCCTTGAAGCAATCGAAGACTCTCAATCCCGGTCGAGCTTCATCAGGCACGGGGAGAAAGCTGAGGACGGAGTTGGGGTCGTGTGCGGGAATGAACAGAGATGCTGGTTGGTACCTGGTCTGGTGATGAGAAATAAAACGGTGATTGAAGCTGGGGTCGGCGACGAGGGATCTCCACCTCTTGCAGACGGCTTTGCAGCGGCAGGAGGATCTAGGGTTGGGGAGGCGAATCAGAATTTCGATGACGAGATCGTCTACCAGTTTGCTGAACAGATGCGGGGGAGGAGGAGGAGGGTTTCCCCTTTTTCTGGAGGCGGAAGGGGGAAAGAGCGAGCTTAGCGGCACATCCCAATCTGAACAGCCATTCTCGGTCATGGTCACGGCAGTTGATTGAAACAAGATGGGAGGCGGGGGAAGATGCAGAAGGATGCGTGGATTTGGGAATGGGAGATGCCTGCACTGCTGCACACGGAGCCCGGAGGGGAGGATTGGATTGGCGACAAGGAAGGAAGGAAGGTACTAGCAGTCCAGAAGGCGAAACGGTTGGTGTTATCAACCACAGTCCTTTGGGCCTTGGGTCGACATTTTGTTTAGGCTGACGCCTTCCATGACTAACCTTGCCCCTCGCCTATGACATTCCTTCTTCTTCCTTGTTCCTTCCTTCTTCTTTCTTCTTCCACCTCCATCCCAGCCCGTTTTCGTCGTAGAATTCTTCCTTCCGGTCCGGTCACCTGGTCGCATCGCCCTCCTCTCCTACTCCGCTGCGTCGCCGGAGATCTGGGTTTACGGTGTGAATCCGATGTCGATTATAGATTTGAAAACCCCCAATCATCTTCCCCATAAAAGCCAGCGACGAACAGGAAGACGAAGCTTATTCTGGGTTCTGGGTTCCGGCGATGAAGAAAACGAAGGAGGAAAGCCTATCTTTCTGTTCCGGCGATGGGTTATGGCGGCCGACCTTGTTTCTGGTCGATCTATCCTTCTCTGTCGCCCTCTGCTCCTCGTCTATCATTCCTTCTCCGTCGCACCCTCTCCTTTTGATCATCAATTCGGGGTTCGAAACCCAGAAACACAGACCGCCACCGCCTAGCCTCCTCTGTTTCTCATCTTTCCCGGCTCCATTCCTCTGGCGATTCTTCTCCAAATCTGGTTCTCTTCCCCAAATTTGGTAATCTTCCCCAAATCAGAATTTTGGGTTTATGGGAAGAATGGTTTGATTTCGGGTTTCTTGATTCAACATTTTGGATTCTACGATTTGGGGAAGGAGAATATAGGTTTGGGAATTTGGGTTAAACGATGAGAGAGGGGTTTGGGATCTATAAGATGATTGGTGAGCGATTTCTGGGTTTGGGAACTTTGTTATGAATGAGGTAAGTGATTTGGGTTTTGCTTTGAATTGGAGGACTGCTTGTGGTGCTGAATGCTAATGGATATTATGGATGGAGAGGAGCCCTCAAAGACACTAGCTTAAGGAGAGGAGGAAGCAGGCGATGATTTCGTCGAAGAACAGAGTGAGAGCATGATTGTTTTCTGGGTTTAGTCAAAAGAATGAACACAGGTAGGGATGGCAATGGGTTGGGTGGGGTTTTGCCAAACCCAAATTCATGGGTTTATCTGTGAAAAAAACTCAGGGTAAAATCTATTGGGTTTGAAAAACTCAAACCCAACCCAACTCGTTGGGTATTCGCGGGTTCATGGGTACCCACGGGTTTTTGCCGTAAAAAATTGACAATAACAAGTTTTTATCAATATTAAAGTCAAATATCAATCTCTCGATACAAAATATCCATATATAAAACACCATTCCACAAAATTCAAGCAAATCACAAATTAACTATACAAATTGTTCAACACCAATCTAGAAAACTCAAAAAAATTAAAGCAAATCACAAATTATCCATAAATAATATGATTAATTGAAAACTTCTTCCTTTCAATTAAGTTTTTTCACTCTCCACTCGATAACATCAACTTCATTCTACACAATTAGAAAGAAAAAATTAGACATGTCTCCACAAATATAAATAAGATTAGTTGTTTAGAATATTAAATATATCGAGAAAATTAATTATATAGGTGTGGGCGGGTACCCATGGGTTGGGTTTACCCAAACCCAACCCAACCCGGTGAATAGTGAACGAGTTTAAACCCAAACCCGGCCCAAAACCCGTCAACACGGATTTTACCCACGTTGACCGGGTTGGATCGGGTGGGTACCTGTGGGTTCGGGTTTTGTTGCCATCTCTAAACACAGGAAAGTAAATGAGGTAGAAGAACATGGAGGCACTAAAGTAAATTGGTATTTTAGCTTAAAATTCTGCTTTTCAATCCAAACGAGTTATTTTAGTCAAATCCCACATACAAATTCTGCAGTATTTTAAATGAGAGATTTAGACTCAAATCCCTCATCTACAAAACACATGGGGTCGTTTGGATCCAAAATTGTGATATGAGGGATTTGGGGCCCAATTTCCTCATTATAAAACATGGGTACTTAAAATGCAAGATTTTAGCAATTTATCCGTTTGTTTATGGGCCCATGATCTCTTAGGCAGCAATTTAACTTTTTATGGCAGATGCAAAAATACAACTCTGCCCTCTGCTCTTATTCGCAGACAACAACCCCTATCTTCTTCCCTACCCCATCTTTCCATATTTTCTTCTACCTTCCCACTGTTGCTCCTCTCAATGTTGCTGCCTCCGTCAGTCGAATCTCTCTTGCTATTTCCTCCTTTCACCCCTCAATCTTAATGCTAATTCCGTCAAACCCATAGCTGAACCCTATTGCATGTTGATTTGCAAGCCTCCAAGAACACCAAACCAAAACCCAAATTGATTCCTTCTCTCACCGAAGCTTGCCGCATGCCTCGAAGAACCCTTCCGCCGGCTGGAAGTAGACGAATCTTTGAAGGTAGACGAATTTGACGCTGATGGCAATAGGCAACGGCGAAGACAAGATGATAGTGGATCTAGGCTCTTGTGAACCCAAATCCCCCGGAAGAAAGGAAGAACCAGAGCTCCTTAGAAGAACCCAGAACTGAAAATTATATTTGTCTTCTCTTGCGTCCTCCGGCGACCTCGTGAGACGCGAGCCTCCCGCTTCCTTGCTAGTCTCCATCGTGGGCGCGCGGTCGCAAATCTGAATTCGGGCTCCAAATCTAAATTCTTCACTGACCGGTGCAGGGGGAAAAACAGAGTGCGGCGGAGGAAGAAAAGAAAGGAGATGACGGTATCTGGGCTCCCCAATTCTAAAAACAGAGCTTTGCGATGACGGTTCCCAATTGCTCGATAGCGGCTCTCCGACCTTCCTATCTGCAGTTTGCCTTCTGTCTCTAGAGACCCCAGATCTCTGTCTCTCTATGATTCACTCTGAGTTCCGACCTTCTTCTCTATGGCTGGATGAGGGAGTGCGAGCAATCAACGGCGTTGATTAGGATGGGGTCGGAGGAATTGAGGGTTTGGATTGTAATCAACTGTGGAGGGACTCTTGCTACCAGTCGATACGCCGTCGTCGAGCCCCTGGCTACCGGTCTAGAAGTCGTCGGAGGGATTATTGCTGCCAGTCGTGAAGTCGTCGTTTTTGCTGGTGGGAGACCGGAAAGAAAGATGTGAATACAGAGGGGTTAACGAAAACAGAGGCAGGGACACGCTGGGAAAAAAGAAATAATTAGGGCAGAATTTTAAAATACCTGGGGGGTGGCAGCTAATTCCAATTCCGGATTGGGCCGGATTTGAAAATTTCTGAGGCCCAAATCTCGGTTGTTTTAAGTGCTATCCAAACAAGGATATTGGTTAAATTCCTGGATGGACTGGGATTTGGGCCAAATCCCTGCCCAATTTTCCTAATCCAAACGACCCCATAAAGGCAAAACATGGGTTGAAATTCTCTCATTTCAAATTTCGTGGCCTGAGAATAATTCTAGGAAGGTTATTTTTGTCGTTGCACCCAGTTCATGTTTATATATTACAAATGTTATTATTGGAGTTCGAAGTAGGGATGGCAATGGGTCGGGTTGGGGCTGGTTTTGTCAAACCCAAACCCATGGGTTTATCCGTCAAAAAAACCCAGGGTAAAACCCACGCGCTCCGACGGCCGCGCTGTCCACGTTGGGAGGTTACACGTCCACCGCCTTTCCTCCCTCAGTCTCCGCCGCCACCTCACCCGCCATCTCCGCCGCCGCCTTTGCGAGGAGGACCCTCCGCCTGTCACCCCGCCGCCCATGATCGTCGACTCGGTTGGAATCGGAGATGGTCTCGCGGCGGTCGATCCCCCGCCAGCCGCGCCAGCCACGCCGCCACCGTTGGCCACTCCCTCGTTCGGATTCGGCGTTGGCCTTGCCGCGATCTCTGTTCCAGTTCCCTTGGACTGCAACGACGCAACCGCTCGCATCAGGTCCCCCAGCCTCTGACGAAGATCCTCAACATCCACCTTCGCTTCAGCCTGCACCCTTGCCAGGCTTTCCTCGAGCCGAGCCAGCGCTCCTGAGTGCTCGTGCACCACCACCTTCACCGCCTCGAGCTCCGTCTTGTCCTCCACCGAGCCGTCGAGGCCCTTGTTGCTAGCCTTGGTGGCTTTCTCGGCCGCTTGAGCCGCCTTCTCTGCTGCGGATTGAGACCTAGTCTGCACCATTGTCTTCTTACGCCTGCCCTGGTTCAAGAGTTATGTGATATTCACTCTCGAACAAGGCTCTAATACCAGATGTTAGAAACAATGTTTCTAACAGTTAGTGAAATGGGAAAATTAACCAGGTCAATGAGCAAATGACCTAGCTAGAGTTTGTAGAGAGAGAGAGAGAGTTGATGGATCGCCGTAGATCTGGGGGATGGAGTAATCGTGTGGATGGGCTGGACGCGGGGTAGAGAGGGACATTTTTGTCCGTTTTTGTATTTTTAATTTTATTTATTTATTTCGCATTTCAATGACTGGCTTTTCAACGAAAGAGAGAAAATGATATTTTCTTTGCAATTCTACTTTCTTCCTTCTCTCTTCCTTTTTCCCAATCTCTTTCCAGATCCTTTCTCTATTCCTTCTCTCTTACTTTTTCTCTCACAATTTCTTTTTCAAATCTAGATATGCTATCTTCCTTCTTCATTTTTTCTCTCTAGCAATCGACGAATAAAAATTGAAGTCGCCCTCTTTTATTGTGTTTCTTCTCTTCATCAACTCGTTGGCTTTAATTTCGATCTTTCTCCTTTTTTGGCGTTTGGTGTTCTTTGGTTGCGGATAAAATGAGATGAGACAGAAGACAAGTTTTTTTTTCTCTCCCTCCTTTTGTTTTTTCCCTTTCTTTTAGGTAATATATATTAGTATTACCACACTATACCATATAGTATTGTGTGGTAATGAAATATATATTGGTATTACAACTCTATATCATATGGTATTACCACTCTATACCATATGGTATTGGGTGGTAACGAAATATATATTGATATTACCACACTATACCATATGGTTGGGTGGTAACGAAATATATATTGATATTACCAAACTATACCATATGGTATTGGGTGGTAACGAAATATATATTCATGTGGCAAAAATTTTCATACCATATGGTATGCTTTTATTTAATACCAGTTAATACCATATGGAATAGTCATTACCATATAGTATAGACGGGTAATAACTGACAAATTTTTTTTGTGTCCAAAAAATATCAAAGTGGATATCATTTTGAAGAGCACAATTAATCTGATCTAACTGTGCAAAAAATTTTTTTGACTTAAAACGAGTGAGAAATCGTCCGTTAAAAGATTAAGGGAAGGAAAATTAAATGTTTTGCAAGGAGAGAGAAGGAGGCGCTGATGTGATCCGGTCAAAAGTCAGCGTCAGCAATAAATAGGAGTAAGTACAATTTTACCGTACTGCCCTTTCACATTTAATTTAAATAAAAAAGTGACTGACACGTGGGGTTGATGTTGTTCGCCGGAATGGATTAGGGTGATTACGGGGTGAGTTAACGCCATGTTGAAAAAATGGCACCCCTATTAATTATAATTATTTTTGTACTAAATTCGTGTTGCATTTAATAATTTTTTTGAATTAAAAATTCATATTAATTACATTCTTTTTTTATAAACTATTAGTATTGTACTTATATAACTATCACTGCACTAATACAACTACCATTGAATTGAAAAAAAGAAAGTAATTAATAAGGGTTTAATTCAGACTGATTATTAAATGCAAATCAATTTTATTACCGTAAAATTAATAGGGGTGTCATTTTTTCAACTCTTTAAGGTATTCATGCTATCTAACCCCAGGTGACTACTAGTTTTTTGGTTGTCAGTATGGCGGTCTACATCTAGGCCTTTTATTATTTTTATAATTTCCTATTTATAAAATGACGACCAATGTTGCATTAAGGATATTTTTTAAAACAAAAAAACTAACATATGATTACTACATATATTTATGAGTTATGACTTTCCATTTCATTCCTCTCTCCAAACTCTACGAGCACTCTCTCCTCTTCGTTCTTTCCGATCGCCACACCCACACACTCCCTCTCCTCTCGTCCTCTCTCCGTTAGACTATCTTATCTTTGATACACTCATGTATGTATGGTACTTATATAACCACTTCCTTACAAAGTTTTCAGAAGTTTCTTGAAGAGATGTGAAAACCCATAAAACTGATCACAAATATCATTCAAATCAGAAAAATAACAGACCACACTACACCACATAAATGTAGATAAAAAAGCTCATGAAGCTGAGCAAAATACTAATTCAAGCTTCACTGCATTGATACTGTTAAACCCTCACATAGAATGCAAAGAAGGATTTATAATTTTATATACTCAAATGGCAAAATTAAAGATAGAATCCCTAGTAACAAACACCTGGTTGACAAGATCAAATCGAATGTGCAAAGCTAGGCTAACTGTAATGAAGCAAAATCATTATAAGCTAAGCTAAACCATCAGAGACATTGGTGATTATGTTTGGAGACCGTGGAAGGTAATCTCGCAGAGAAACTCGAGAGGGTACATAATTCGTAATAACCTTTATCCAGGTTCCTTCGATTTGAACATCGCCGAACTCTGCAGTCTCGAGATGAAATGGAATTAGGCTTCGATCTCCAAAGTACCTCCCATCATCCTTGATCATATCAGTAGGAACCGTCGTGAAGAAAAACTTCAAGTCCCTCGAAATCCCAGCGCAACAATCAATGGACATTCCACGAGGAATAGGATTCGCAACGACATACAGTTTCATCCAGGACACCGACACCCAATACTTCAACAAAACCCACACGTCCCACGTAGTGCTCCACTTTGTGTCTTCGTATTCATCATGGTTCTCCTCGTAGTACTCGGGGAAGACCGCCACCATCGATTCCTCGTTTAACAAGTACGTCGGAGCATCGTACTCTTTCTCCGAATCGAAATGCACCTCGACTACCTCGAACAATTCGCTCGCAATGTCGAACGAATCAAACACCAGGCTCTCATTGCTCTGCCCCATCGAGTGCCACCAGTACAGCTTCCCCTTGTTGCACTGCGGGATCTTCCAAGAGCTGAGCGGCGGGCATCCGCCATCAGGGAATCTCGACCAGGAATCGTTCCTCAAAACTGTAAATCTCCGAGATAAAGTGACATCCCCAGAGAATACCTTCGTCGAAGAAAAAGTGTCTGACGATTTTGTAGTCGTCGCTCTCCGAATCGAAACAAAACCCCACCGCGCCGATGGAAAAATCGGGAGTCCGATCCTTGGCAGGGGAAGGCGGTGTTGAAAGGTAATTTGCAACAATAATTATCATAACCAAAATGTCCCACTACAATCACTTCAAGAGGACAACCCATTTGCACAAGATAGACATCTCAACCTACTGCCAACAAAGAAGTAAATTGATTGTTATGAGAAAAAAATAATTCAGCAAGTGGATGTGATGAAAAGAAAGCAAGCCAACCAAATTAATGGGTGAATAATTATGTAGTCCCATGCATATCAAGTTGGCAAGAAACATGAAGTAATTACATGGGTCATCTAGTACCCATCTGCATTCACGTCCACATGCATGGAAGAGAAAAGAGACTTGGCATTATTAGTTTCTTTCATTTACATTATCTATATATGTATGTATAAGTGTGTATGGCAATGGCAGAGAGAGTGGGCAAGAGACATAAAAATAGAAAACATAGAAGTCTCTGCCGTGAGTGTGTAAGACAAGAGCCAAATGAATAAGGCCTTGTTTGTTTGAGTGTATTTTAAATTGAGTGATTAAACACCATTTGTTTCCTTTGTGTTGATCCTAATTTCTACCACAATTCCGCTAATCCCCAACAAATTTGGTATCAGAGCTTATACCTTTCTATCCTCTAAAAAATCCCCAAATTTCTAGCCTACACAACTTTCTCAAAAATCCATGGCAACAACTTCCTTAAACACCATGTTTGCTACCTCTTCTAATCAAATTCCCATTTTCGATGGAGAATTGTACGAGTACTGGAGTGCCCAAATGGAGCCAATTTTCATCTCTCAAGATCTGTGGGATATAGTCCAAGATGGTTATGAAAGTCCCCAGGAAGATGATGAAGACTCAAAGAAACGATCAGGCAAGCAGACAAAGGAGTACAAGAAGAATGCCAAGCAAAATGCCAGCGCCTTGAGAATCATTCAGCAAGCAGTGAGCAAATCAATTTACCCGAGAATCTATGGCATCAAAAAGGCCAAAGAAGCTTGGGATGTCTTGCGTGAACAATTTCAAGGCTCTGAAAAGGCAATCTCTATCAGGCGCCAAAGTTTATGGCGACAGTTCGACAACTTGATGATGAAGGAAACCGACACCATCAAAGACTTCCATTCGCGTGTGGCAGAGACAGTCAACCAAATCAAAGCCACCGGTGATGTCATGGAAGAAAGAAAAATTGTGGAGAGAATTCTCCGCAGTTTATCATCAAAGTTCGAGCATATTGTTGCTGTCATTGAAGAAACCAAAGATCTGGCAAATCTACCAATGAGCGAGTTGATGGGCTCACTTGTAGCACACGAGCAAAGAATGAGCCGCTTCACCAAACCGCCATTGGAGCAAGCTTTCTCGTCAAAAGTCAACATGGCGGAAAGTAAATATGCCAAATCGGAGCAAGGCCAGAGAGAAGGAAACTCACAAGGTAGAGGAAGAGGAAGATCCAATTACAGAGGAAACAACAGACAAAATTATCAACAACAAAGATCAGGCTACACCGGCTCGAGTTGCATAATTTGCAAAAAGGCGGGTCATGCAACAAAAGACTGCAGATTCAAGTGCACCAAGTGCAAAATTCAAAACCACTCCCAGAGAGATTGCTGGTTCCAGAACAAGCAAGAAGATAGCGAGTCAAGCGCCACCAAAAATGAAGAAAGCAATATGGTGGCCTTGTCATGCTTGTATGGTGAGCAAAAATCACAGCTTCCCTGGATGGTGGATAGTGGTTGCAGCAACCACATGACTGGAGATCTAGAGTCCTTCACCAACATCGATGACAAATACCGCTCTCAAGTCAAATTGGGAGACGGGAAGAAGCTAAAAGTGGAAGGAAAAGGCACAGTTGTTGTATGCACAGAAGAAGGCAACAAAACTCTCATTCGAGATGTTTTGTATGTTCCGGAGCTAACTCTCAATCTACTTAGCGTGGGACAACTGATGCTGAAAAATTACAAGCTATTGTTTGATAATGGCGTGTGCGAGATTATCAACAAAGCTGACAATTTCATGGTAGCCAAAGTCCCGATGACTTCCAACATAATTTTCTCTCTTGCTATGTAACAAAATGGCGAAGTAGCATTCAAGAGCGAAAATCTGAATCTATCCTTCCTATGGCATCTCAGATACAGTCATCTCAACTTCAAATGCCTCAAATTGCTGAAGCAGAAAAATATGGTGGTGGGACTTCCCCAAATCAACAGAGAAGACAAAATCTGTGAAGGGTGCATATATAGCAAAATGCATCGTTTGCCATTTCCAAAGACATCTTGGAGAGCAAAAGCGCCACTGGAGTTGGTACATGCAGACATATGTGGTCCAACCCGAACACAATCACTCAGCTGCAAAAGATACTTTCTACTATTTGTAGATGACTTCACCAGAATGATGTGGGTATTCTTTCTGGAGCAAAAGTCAGAAGCTTTTCCCAAATTCCTTCAATTCCAAGCAATAGCTGAGAAGGAAAGCGGCCATCAAATCAAAACTCTCCGTACAGATCGTGGAGGAGAATTTATTTATACTCCGTTCATGGAGTATTGCCGCAACAATGGAATCAAAAGGCAGTTGACGGTCCGTTACACACCACAACAAAATGGCGTGGCAGAACGAAAAAACCGCACGATTGTGGAGATGGCGAGAAGCATGCTCAAAGCACAAAAAGCTTCCCAACAACTTGTGGGCAGAAGCGGTCAATACAACAATTTACATCCTCAACAGATCACCAACCAAAGCAGTTCGAAACAAGACACCGATACATGCGTGGCACCACAGGAGGCCACAGGTGGATCACCTCAAAGTCTTTGGGTGCATAGCTTATGCACATATATCTACTCCAAACCGAGACAAGTTTGACCAGAAAGGAGAGAAGCTGATCTTCACCGGCTACAGTGATGAATCCAAAGGCTATCGTCTTTACAACCCAGTAAAGAACGAGGTGGTGGTTTCACGAGATGTGATCTTTGATGAGATGGCGGAGTGGAATTGGGAAAATCCAATTTCTCAATCTCCACCAAGTTATGAAATTCTAGAGGACTCAGCAACTCTAGAAGACCCCAGCAACCACCCAGATCCAGTTGCTAGTCCAGAAAGAAATTCTGCACCTAGCCCAGAAGGAGACAACTTCAGAGACGTCGTAACAGACTCGAATTCACCTCCGTTGAGAACAAGGTCTTTGCGAGAAATTTATGAAACAAGTCATGTTGCATATTTTTCTTGTGAGCCTCAAGTCTTTGAAGAAGCAGCCAAAGAAGAAGTTTGGAACGAGGCAATGGATGCAGAAATTTCCATGATCGAGAAAAACAAGACATGGGAGCTTGTTGATCAACCGGAGGACAAGCCGGTTATAGGTCTCAAATGGATCTATAAGATCAAATTCAATGAAGATGGTACTATCCAGAAGTACAAAGCTCGACTGGTGGCAAAAGGCTATTCACAACAGCCCGGTATTGATTTTCACGAGACATATGCACCAGTAGCGAGGATGGAGACCATCAGAACAGTTCTCGCTCTAGCTTCTCAACTGGAGTTACCAGTATACCAGCTGGATGTCAAATCAGCATTTCTGAACGGAGAACTGGAAGAAGAAGTCTATGTGGAGCAACCACGAGGCTATGAGAAAAAAGGAGAAGAAGACAAAGTTTATCGTCTCCGAAAGGCTCTATACGGGCTGAAGCAAGCACCGAGAGCCTGGAACAGCAGAATTGATCGATATTTTCAGCAAAACAGATTTCAAAGAAGTCCGAGTGAAGCATCTCTCTACATCAAAAAGGGAGAAGGAAAAGATTTTCTAATGGTTTGTTTATATGTTGATGACTTGATTTACACAGGTACAAGCCAACATATGATCGAAGAATTCAAAAGTACCATGATGAAAGAATTCGAGATGACGGACTTGGGACTCATGAAGTATTTTCTTGGGATCCAAGTGAAGCAGTCACCTGGAGAAATATTTATTTCACAGGAGAAGTACACCGAGGATATGCTCAAAAGATTTCACATGGAAATGTGCAAACCAATCTCAACACCGATGCCGTTGAACGAGAAATTGCAACGCAATGATGGAGCTGAAAAAGTCGATGGAAAGCTGTACAGAAGTCTTGTCGGGTCACTCATTTACCTGACACATACAAGGCCGGATATATGTCATTCAGTAAGTCTTATATCAAGATTTATGAATGAACCTAGCAAACTTCATTTTGCAGCAACCAAAAGAATTTTGCGGTATCTTCAAGGTACAAAGAAATTGGGCCTGATGTACAAGAAAGAAGCAGAAAGCAAGCTGACTGGATTTATCGATAGTGACTGGGCAGGATCACTAGATGATCGAAAAAGCACATCAGGGTACATATTCTGCCTGGGTTCAAAACCCATTTCCTGGAGTTCAAAGAAGCAAAAGACTGTGGCATTATCTTCAGCGGAAGCAGAATATATCGCAGCTACAGATGCAGCATGCGAAGCGGTATGGCTAAAAAGATTAATTTCTAATTTGCAGCAAAATGAAAATGGTCCAACCATTATTCATTGTGACAACATGTCAGCCATAGCCATGACAAAAAATCCAGTATTTCACGCAAGATCGAAGCATATCGAGTTGCGTCATCATTTCATCCGAGACCTCGTCAACGAAGGACTCATCGTGATGGAATTTATCAACACCGACGACCAGCCAGCTGATATCATGACAAAGGCGGTCACTCGTGAGAAGTTCGAGAAGTTCAATAAGCTTCTCCATATTGCAAATTAAGAGGGGGTGTTGAAAGGTAATTTGCAACAATAATTATCATAACCAAAATGTCCCACTACAATCACTTCAAGAGGACAACCCATTTGCACAAGATAGACATCTCAACCTACTGCCAACAAAGAAGTAAATTGATTGTTATGAGAAAAAAATAATTCAGCAAGTGGATGTGATGAAAAGAAAGCAAGCCAACCAAATTAATGGGTGAATAATTATGTAGTCCCATGCATATCAAGTTGGCAAGAAACATGAAGTAATTACATGGGTCATCTAGTTCCCATCTGCATTCACGTCCACATGCATGGAAGAGAAAAGAGACTTGGCATTATTAGTTTCTTTCATTTACATTATCTATATATGTATGTATAAGTGTGTATGGCAATGGCAGAGAGAGTGGGCAAGAGACATAAAAATAGAAAACATAGAAGTCTCTGTCGTGAGTGTGTAAGAAAAGAGCCAAATGAATAAGGCCTTGTTTGTTTGAGTGTATTTTAAATTGAGTGATTAAACACCATTTGTTTCCTTTGTGTTGATCCTAATTTCTACTACAATTCCGCTAATCCCCAACAGGCGGGAGGACCTTGAATTCGGAGGTCACCGGGTTCCAGAGGATTAGATCCTCGTCCTTCCTGCGGTACTCGACGATGTAGAGCAGGCCGTTACAGCATCCTACAACACTCAAACTCGGACGAGAATTAGGGTTTCGGGGCCGGTCCGGATTGAAGGGAAGCTGTCACGTGCCATTAGCTGTTTTGGAATTTTTATTTAAAAGATTGCTAGTTGTTAGAGCCACGATTCCACTCTGTTGGACGTGGAGTAGGATTAGGAGGATTGGTTTGTAAGCCCAATTCCCGTATAGATCACCAGAGAATAATTGTGGCCAAAGTGTAATTATCACTTAATGGTTTAATATACAAGGTAAGTCATATATTGGTTAGGTTAATGAAAGGTAATTTCCTAATATACCCTGATGGTGGGTCTATATAAAGAAACCCTAGGATTGGTCCTCTCTCAACCCATTACGTAGAATATCTTAGCCGTCATAGAAATCTCTAAACCTAAAACCTAAAGGGGTCAAGAGGGAGAAACTCAATTCCGGTGATTACTACTCAAGCCGCCGTCGTCGCTCTCGTCATGGATCGAGGTAAGTTTCCTTGATCTATTACCGATTCGTGAAATCATCTAATTCTAAGATCCATGCTATTATGATTTTTGTTTACATGTGGTATCAGAGCCTTAGGGTTTATATGAATGGATGATTTTCGATTATGTTTGTTTCATATTTGTTTTCCGTTGCATCATCGTGTATCTCTATATTTGCGATTATGCTTATCGAATATAATTGATGTTTGTTTGACTCTATAATTCGTTGTCTGTTTTATAAGCATACGTCGCCTGAGTTAGTGGGATTTTCATATTATTTGTTAACAATTAGGGATGGCAATGGGGCGGGTTTGGGGCGGGTTTGTCTAAACCATCCTCATCCCCATCTTCAAATATCCAAACCCATACCCGCCCCATACCCATGTGGGGAATGTTTGGCAAACCCATCCCCATACCCGTGGGTTTTGGGTACCCATGGGTAATACCCATACCCGTACATCCAACATTATTATCCTAAAATTTACAAGAAAAGTTTTAACTACAACTCTAAACGTACCTATTATATCACGAATTCAACAAAACACGATCATTTTCTTAATACGGTTCAAAGAATATGATCCTAAAACATTCGTTAATACATAATATAGAGTATAATATTTTTCAAATTATTATGCTCTAACTCTGATACATCTACTAAGAAATAATTAACTAACATAATCTTGTTGACAAGGGGGAAAGTGAAAGAGTGAAAGGAGAATGGAGGGAAATGAATTAGGTTTTGATTAAGGTGGTCACTCAACTGCATTGCTACTATTTATTTCCTCAAGTTATCCTCATCATCATTGATAGATTACAATTTGATCCACATATATTTGTATATGTGAAGAAATTCTCTTGCTGGGGCGGGTATGGGTATGAGTATGGGGCGGGGGAGGCTAAAACCATACCCGCCCCATACCCATCAAACTTTTTGCGGGTTTTACCCATTCCCGCCCCATATCCGGTCAAAGCGGGGATTACCCGTGTTGACTGGGTCGGGGGCGATTGGGTACCCGCGGTCATGGGTTTAATTGCCATCTCTATTAACAATGCCATTTGACCACCTCTGCTTTACAAACAAGGGCTTTAATCTGTTGACCATTATAGGTTGTGATTCTAAGTTTTCTTTTTAGTCTGTTAAGTGATTGCTTTGGCATTAGGCTTACTTATGTTAAACTATTATCATGAATATATTAAGCAATTAAAGAGACAAGCTCTCTACGTATGTGAGATTGAGTAAAATTATTTTGCCTTAAGTCAATCCTTAATTTTGATATCTATGTTATGATTAATTTGTTAGTCACCAAAGTGGCCAAATTAAAAGGTTTGTAGATATCAAGTTGAATCAAGTTCGACTACTAATGTTTATGTGATGCTTTAAAGTTGAAGTTTGTGATTATATAATATTTTCTAATCGCCCAAAGGTTGATTGCTCGTTTTATAATTCATGAACATTATCGTGGTAAATTGATATGCTTGGTTAGATATATTTAGTATATCCAAAGATTGCAAGTATATCTAATTTGAGTATGTCTGTCACCAATTACATGATTAATTTGAGCATCAATTACGATTATTTGTCGCATATATATTGTTGTTTTGCCCAAAGGTAGCACCGATATATATTTTATGTTTATACTTCCAAATATGTATTATATTTTATGCTTATTAACCAAAGCATTAATGTGTGAGTACATGTTATATATCTTTGCAACATTTGTTCATGTTTCTCTTCATTCGCAAGCCACGTCTGTTGTTAAGTTTAATGGCCTCAACTTCTCTGAATGGGCTGGAAACAGGTTCAGTTTCACCTCGGTGTTATGGATCTTGATTTGGCACTCTTAAGTGAGAAACCTGCTGCTCTTACTGATGCTAGCAGTGCTGAGGAGAAGTCTTTCCATAAAGCTTGGGAAAGATCTAACAGACTAAGCCTAATGTTTATGCAAATGACTGTAGCAAACAACATTAAGTCAACTTTCAATGATACTGAAAGTGCTAAGGAATTGATGAATTCCGTGAAAGAAAGCTCTCAATCTGAGTCTGCTGATAAGTCGCTTGCTGGGATAGTGATGGGTATGCTAACCACCATGAAGTTTGATGGTTCTCGTACCATGCATGAGCATATCGTCGAAATAACAAATATTGTAGCAAGACTAAAGACCATGGGAATGGAAGTGAATGAAATTTCCTAGTAACGTTCATCCTTAATTCCTTACCTCCAGAGTATGGCAATACTCTAAAGGATAAATGGAATGTGCATGAGTTACAAAGTATGCTCATTCAAGAGGAACCAAGGCTTAAGAAACCAGGAAATCATTCTGCCAATCTTGTTGGTCATAAAGGAGCTGGAAAGAAACCATGGAACAAGAATGGGAAGGGCAAGGAAGGACTATCAAAGCTTAATGAGTCATCTGCCAAAATCCACAAGAAGGAACCAAGTAAGGATATATGCCGCTTTTGTAAGAAAGCCGGACATTATCAGAAAGATTGTTTGAAAAGAAAGGCATGGTTCGAAAGAAAGGGTAAGCCTAGTGCTTCAGTATGTTTCGAATCAAATTTAACTGAGGTTCCTTATAATACTTGGTGGGTTGACACTGGTTGTACCATTCATGTTTCCAAAACGATGCAGGGATTCCTTACGACCCAAACCATAAGGCAAAATGAGAAGTTCATCTATATGGGAAACCGAGCCAAAGTTCCAGTTGAAGCTATTGGGACTTATCGTTTGGTTTTAGATACTGGTCATCATTTGGACCTTGTCAATACCCTTTATGCTCCTTCTATTTCTCGTAATTTGGTTTCTGCGTCTCAACTAGATAAGGTTGGGTATTTTTGGAACATTGGAAATGGTTCTATTAGTTTGTTCAAACATAATGTTTTATTGGGTTATGGTACCCTTGTTGATGGTTTGTACAAACTAAAGCTTGATACCCTATTCGCTGAGACTCTTTTAACCTTGCATCATAATATTGGTATTAAGCGTGATTTGTTTGATGAATCCTCTGCTTACTTGTGGCATAAACGTTTGGGTCACATGTCCAAAGAAAGAATGAAAATGTTAGTAAAGAATGAAATCCTTCCTCATTTGGATTTTACTGACCTTGGAATTTGTGTTGAGTGTATTAAAGGAAAACACACAAAACACACACTTAAGAAAGCAGCCACAAGAAGCTCACAGCTCCTTGAAATTATACACACTGATATTTGTGGGCCTTTTGATATTCCATCACTTAGTGGAGAAAAGTATTTCAATACCTTTATTGATGATTTTTCACGTTATGGATATATCTATTTGCTGCATGAAAAATCTCAGCCGGTAGATACCCTTGAGGTGTTTATCAATGAAGTTGAGAGGCAATTAGAAAGAAAGGTGAAAATTGTCAGATCTGATAGAGGTGGAGAATATTATGGAAAACATGATGAAAGTGGACAGTGCCCTGATCCATTTGCTAAGTTCCTAGAAAGACGTGGTATTTGTGCTCAATACACTATGCCAGGAACACCGCAACAAAATGGTGTTGCAGAAAGGTGGAATCGTACTTTAATGGATATGGTTAGGAGTATGTTAAGCAATTCATCTTTACCCAAATCATTGTGGATGTACGCCTGAAGGACCGCTGTGTATTTGTTAAACAGGGTTCCTAGTAAAGCAGTTCCTAAGACACCATTTGAACTGTGGACGGGAAGGAAACCCCGTTTAAGGCACCTGCATGTTTGGGGTTGCCGAGCGAAAGTGAGAATATATAATCCACATGAGAAGAAACTGGACTCACGAACAATCAGTGGTTTCTTCATTGGTTATCCAGAAAAAATCTAAGGGGTATCGATTTTATTGCCCTAACCATAGTACGAGAATTGTTGAAACTGGAAATGCTAGGTTCATTAAGAATGGTGAAGTTAGTGGGAGCTTAGAGCCACGCAATGTGGAAATTCAAGAAGTTAGAGTGCAAATCTCTTTGCCTCTTCCCTCTTCTCAAGTTGTTGCTCCTGCACACGTTGAGCATGATAACGATTTGCAAGAACAACAAATGAACGGTCAAGCACCACCTATATTGCTATTGAGAATGAACCTAACATAGATGAACCACAAGAAATCGCATTAAGAAGGTCTACAAGAA